AAGGAAAGGGTTTATTTGGCTTACACTTCCACATCATTGTCCGTCATTGAAAGAAGCCAGGGTGGGAACTCAATGGGACAAGAATTTGGAGGTAGGAATTGATGTAGATGACAGGGAGGAGTGTGGCAAACTGGCTTGTTCCTCATGGCTTGCTCAGCTTGCTTTCTTTTTTATTATTGTGGTTTGGTTGGGTTTTTTGTTTAGTTTTTGGGTTTTCTTGTTTTGCTTTTTCAAGATAGGGTTTCCCTGTATAGCCTTGGCTGTCCTGGAAATTGCTCTGTAGATCAGCTGGTCTTGAACTCACAGAGATTCACCTGCCTCTGACTCCCAAGTGGTAGGACCAACACCCCGCTTCAGTCTGCTTTCTTATGTATCACCAGCCTCAGGGTGGCTCCACACACAAGGGGCAGGGCCCTACCCCATCAATCACTACTAGTTAAGACATTGCCTTATGGGCTTGCCTACAGTCTGATCTTATGTAGGCATTTTCTCAAGCAAGGATCCCTCTTCTTAGACAACTAAAATTTGTGTCAAGTTGTCATGGAACAAGCAAGCACAGACCCTGATTGGCTGAACTTGAAGTTTACTAGGCTGTGTGATCCTTGGATGAGTTATTCAGTTCTCTCTGCTTCTATTTCTTCAAATGTAAAATTGGGAAGATATTAGTACTTGCCCATAAGGGTACTGTGAGAAGTAAATGGCTTTATCTAAAGACCCTCCTCACTTTCTTTCTTTTCTTCTTCTTCTTGGTGTTTTCAGACTGGATTTCTCTGTATAGCATGGCTGTTCTGGAACTCACTTTGTAGACAAGGCTGGCCTCAAACTCACAGAGACCCACCTGTCTGCCTGCTGAGTGCCAAAGCCCTTTAAATTCATGGCTGGGCCTTTCTAAATACAGCAGCTTCTTATATCTAAGAGGGCTGCACCCAGGACATCCTAAAGATACAAGAAGCCATACATCTAAGTCCTTTATATAAAATGGCATCGTGTTCTCATATAAATCTCATATAAATCACACACTTCTTACATATGCTTTAGTCATTTCTTTAATTTTTGAAGAGTTGGAAATCAAACTTCTGGGTTTTCTTTCTTTGCACTTATGCAAATCTCTCTTCATGTATGTGCACAGGTGTATAGGTACCTGAGAAGACTAGAAGAGGACATTGGCCCCCGCTGGAGCTGGTGGCAGTTAGCCCAATGCATATGAGTGCCTGGAACTGAACTCAGATCTTCTGAAAGGACAGTTTGCATGCTAACTCTGAGCCATCTCTTCAGCCCTGAGCTTTTGTTTTACTTTGTTGTTAATAGAGTTTGAAACATCTGGGTTAAAAGAAAAAAGACTCAGGGAGAAAGGACTTGGTGTGTGGCTTTAAATCAGATGCCCATGTATTTTAAACCTGCTTTAGATTACTTAGGTCTAAAGTAACGAATATGCTATTTAAATTGTCATACTATATTGTTTAAGAAGTAATAACAAGAAGTCTATGTCCAGGACACATAGCAAGCATTCCTGGTATTATTATTATTATTATTATTATTATTATTATTATTATTATTCACAGTTGGTTGGATCTGTAGATGTAGACCTTGCAGGATAACTGCTCCGTGGCTGCAAGATGCTTTTTTTTTTTTTTTAAAAAAAAAAAATTATTACTTTTTAAGGCAGCGTCTCACTCTGGCTGTCCTGGAATTCACTATGTAGACCTGGTTGGCCTCAGACTCACAGAGATCTACCCTGCCTTGCCTCTGCCACCCAAGTATAGACTTGCACCACTATACCCAGGGCAAGCTGCTATTGCTAGAGGCAGGTTCTAGACAGAACCCAAGCTTGGCAGCTCATGCTATTATAGAGGCTGCCCTCTATATTTTTTTTAACTAGGCAAAGATGTGCTACATTTGTTTACCACTGCAAAATATTACTTTAAAGTAAAGGTGTGTTGCTTTTGTTAATGATGCATTTGTTTAATTATATAAAAAAATGTATTGCATCTGTTTCACCTTGCCTGCCTAAGGCACCTGATTGGTCGAATAAAGAGCTGAATGGCCAATTGATAGGCAGGAGGAAGGATAGGCGGGGCTAGCAGGCAGAAAGAATAAATAGGAGGAAAAATCTAGAAAAGAAGAGAGAGGAAGGAAGACAGAATGAGGGACACACGGGGCAGGGAGCCAGGCAGACATCAGCCAGACATAGAGGAGCGGTGAAAGGAGATACACAGAAGAAAGGTAAAAAGTCCCAAGGCAAAAAGGTACATAAATGGAAACAGGTTCGTATAAGTTAAAAGAGTAAGCCAGAAATGAGCCTAAGCCAGGCTGAGCATTTAAAACTAACAAGTCTCCATGTCATGATTTGAGAGCTGCTTGGTGGCCCAAAAGAAAAAGCCTGGCACAGCCTACTGTGCACATGTGGTACATGGTTCTAGACCTACTTCTAGAACCAAGGGAGTTCCCATCTCCACATTGCAGATCCTAACCAAGTAATAAGTGGTCTAGCAGGGACTGAGCCACAGACTGTCCATTGCCACCTGCCTCTCGGCTTCCTGTCTTTGTGCTGTGTACCTCCAGGGGTCAGGAGAAGAAATACTGGCAGGGAAGTTCCCGTATTTGAGGGTATGTATCTACAGGAATCTTCCCAAAGGAGCACAGGTTGCCCAGGCCTTCTCATCTCACTTTGCTCTGATCATCTGCTCCAAGCACATGGTTGATGTGTGACCAGGAACTTTAGATATCTGTATGTTACAACCCACATACCAGCAGGGCTGGAGTTACTTACTAGATACCAGCTTCAAAGTTCTTAGCAGACAGCTGACTGGAGGTGGTGCCTGGGGTCCATGCTTTAGAGGAAGGGGGTGTCCCTGTGACGCAGGCTAGGGTGACTGGCCTCCCTCCCCATCCACTCCACCAGCATCTTTTGCCCATCTGTTCTCCGACTATGGCTCCTTGCTCCTCCCTTCAGCCTTTCTTGACCTCTACTCATGTAAATTCATCCTCTCTTGGAATCTCACTCCCTTCTAGCTTTAACTCCCTTCTTATAAACAAACCACTACCACTGCAGGAGACTGTTCTCTCAGTTGCTCAAACAATTCCGTGGTCTTGCCCACATTTCCACAGGCAGTTTACTTAAAGACTGGCTGCCCAGGCACATACAGCGCATATCCTGGAGGCTGTCAGGGTGGTATAGGCTACACTTTCTTCACGGCTGTGAGCCGGCAATTCCACCATACTGTGGACCAGGGGCTAGAGACACTCAGGTGGAAAGCAAGCTTTTCTTTGTCTTTTCCTTCCCTTGGAACGGGACTTCTCTGTGTGGCTTGGGCCGTTCTGGAACTCGCTCTGTGGACCAGGGAGGACTCAAACTCAGAGATCTGCCTGCCTCTGCCTCCAGAATGCCAGGATTAAAGAGGTGTGCCTCCACAGCCCGGCATCAGGAAGGTTTTCTTTTATCCTGATGCCCTTGGATTGTCTTGAGGTCTCAAGGACGTAGTCTATTTCAGAAGGGGTCCCAGTAGGCAATGGTTTACACAAATGAGAAGACTTTTGGATTATGTCAAATGAGGAATAAGAAGCCAGAGCAGATGTGACAGGACCCCAGCTCCTTCTGACTTCTGTTCTGTTTGGCGGAGGGGAGTTAGCCACATCTTTATGGATCAAGCTAGTTGGCTACAGCATCCCAGCCAGCGGGAAAGGGAAGGTCCCTTTCCTTTGCCTGAAGTCTGTGCACATCACTTACACGTATCTCATTATCCACATGTAGTTAAGAAGCCATGGCAAATTGCAAGGGAAGCTGGGAAATGGAGTCTCTATCCTTGGTATTCAGTTGGAGAACCTATAGGAAGCACAGTAGAATGATACTGGGGGCAATGGTGACACCGATTCTTCTCTTATCCAGCTTGTGACCACATCCTGGGACACCTCATTCCTGGTGCCTTTCCCAGCAGAGCTTAATTTTAAGTTCACGCTTGTTGTCTTATGCCCCATGGCTCGCAAGAGGCTCCAGCTGACCCCCTTGCTTGTAGCCTCACCTCTGATTGGCAGCCTTCATTGTTTAGCGATTCTTCAGTAGCTCCCACTGCCCATTGCAATGCCTCTCCCTCCCCTGCCAGGACTGAGCCCAACAGCCTTGAGAATACAAGTGCCCTATCCCTCAGCTACATTTCCAGTCAAGCAGCGGGCTTTAAAGTATTTTAAAATTACATTTATTCATTCATTCATTCATTCGGTGTGTGCAGTATTCATATGGAGGGTAAGTTTGCTGACTAGAGGGCAACTTTCCAGAGTTGATCCTCATCTTCTGCCACATGGGTCCTGGGAATCAAGCTCAGGTCGTCAGGCTTGACAGCAAGCACCGTTACCTGCTGAGGCTCAAGCATTGGGATTTTAAGAGCAGAGCTCAGCATACATGTGTGTGTTTTCCTGTGAAAGGAGTTTGGATTCTTGAAGTAGTGTGTGAGACAGTCCCCTCAAGTTTGGGCTCAAGTCCAAATCCCTAACATCAAAATGCAAGAAATGAGATCATATGTCTTCCTCTCCCTCAAGTCTCCTCTCCCATTGACTGAAACCGAAGTCATCTGAAATCCTACCGTTGTGGGGTCACAGGGATTTTTTCATGCCGCATCTTCAACCCAGCTGCTCCCTCTAGAACACCTGGGCTCACACCTCAGAGTTCGGCTCAGAGCCAACCTCCTTGAGGTCCTTACGTCACCTGTGGGCACATTGTCAATGGTAAGTAAGGTATCTCTCCTGGGATCCAGAGCAGCTGTCACAAGCTGCCTGTTCAAAAACCCGACTTGTCCTTGCTCTCCAACTTCCTTTATCCAGCTGCGATCCCTTCCTCCTCGGCATGTTCCTGCCATCTGTCACAGGGCCTCCCCAGACTCCAAAACTGCTAATAAACACCCTCTTTTTCTTCGTAAGTATCCTTTCTTGGTTATTTTGTCAGAACAAAAAGAAATTAGCTAATATAGGCCTGTATTGCAAATTCCCAAGAATCAAGAGCAAAGGCATTTTGAGGTCAATTGAGAGGCAACATTTTAATTTATATACAATAAGGACAGGCCAGAGCTGTACTACTCCAAGCTTGGTGGTGGCCTGACTGCATTGGCATCCTCTGGGCCCAGTTAGGCATACAGAAACTCAGGCCTACTGCATAACAAGATCCTTTGCATAACATTAACCTTTGCAAAGCATGGAGCTGTCATTTATTAATGTATGTGTTTGCTTTTACATTGTGTTTTGACATTGAAATAAATCCTCTTAATCCTTTTCTTTGTTTTTAATCTCATCTGCTGCTTCAATATTTCCATCTCTGTGCAGCATTCACACATGGGACTTTGGGCACTTCTCACAGGTTACATTGTGGGAAGAAGTTGGCTGCAGGGTTTCTAAAGATGGTCTTTCTGGGTTATCATCTGGATTCAGAAATGTCCACAAGCAGTTTCTTATGAAGAATCCCCAGAGGTAGGATGTATGATCATTGCCATTCTGGAGATGATGGTTGTCACTTACAAAGGCCTGGTGACTCACCCAAAGGGTATCAAGCAAATGACATTCCAGCCCAAATGAGAATCTTTGCTCTTGAGTTTTCATTGTTCAGATCCTCAATGTTGACACTCTTCCATTTATATACAGGTGATTTTCGCATAAGATATTCAGAGGTTTTATGTGCAGGCCCCAGGGGATATGGAAGCATAGGAAAAATCTGTCCCTGGGAGAGGGTTCAGTGCAGAGAGAGCTACGTCCTGCCCTGGCTGGCTGCTGCTGAAGCCCAGACTGGACTTCTGCACAGCCAGGAGCCGGGAAGTTCTCAGAGCCAGTACCTGCTATAGGGTCCTTGTACTCCCAGCAATGGATGAACATGCCAACTTCTACAGTGACTCATTCCCAGCAAGAAGCTGGCCAGTTCATTTGTTTCTTTCATAAGGTTGGGAACAGCTGAAATAACTGGACTCCACCAACACATCCCCAGTATTAACCACTGGATTGGATTTTCTGCTTACTTCCACAGAGGGAATCGGAGCCCCCTGAGTACTCAAAAATGTCATACATGACATTACTGGGCTTCATCCTACCTTGCCTAAATTTAGATTCCTCTCCCATTCTCTCTAGACATGCATAGTCAGTGGGATATATTTGTATATATAATTGATTCAAAACAAAAAGACAGTACACTTTAAAGCCCCATGTAAAAAGTATTGCTTTTCTACTGTGCCAGCATGCCCTTACCCAGGGCTACACAGGACTGCAAAGACAGTCATGAAGAATTCAAGGCTGAAGATGTTCTGAATTTCTGGACAACCCCACTGCAGCCTGCCCTCTGCACCTTGCACCCTGCTCTGAAGCCTATATAGTTTTGGGGAAGGGGGGGGGCGCGGGCTTGTCCTAAGGCTAAAACCTACTAAGCATCCTAATGAGCAAAATCATATGACAGGAATGTATTGTGCATATTTGGCATAGCTTCTTTTGAATGGTGGCCCTCTGTCTGTGACCTCAGCCCTCTCTAAGGGCAAGGGAGGAGTTTAGAAAAGGAGCCTCTGCTTCCTGGCTGTTGATGCTTCTGCAGCTTCTACAGCCCCAGGGACCTGCCCCGCTCTGAGTGGGCCCGCAGAAGCTCTGCGATTTCCACATGGGCAGGGGAATTCAGAACGATGGACAAAGCTGTTCGGCCAGCCTGTGGGGAAGAAAGAAAGAAAAAAAAATCATCCATTGTGCCTTGTAGTCCCAGTGAGAAGTGTTGAGAGGGATGTTCCAAGCATCATGAGGCATGAGGGTCCCTTCCACAGGAGCAGCCCTCAGTCCTGGGAAGCCTGGGCCAGTGGGGACAGAGGAGTCGCCAGACCCTCAACACTTAGGAGATTGGAAACTATCAGAAAGAAAGTAACCTTTCCTATTCTACATACAGATCAAATTGAACATTAGCATTTTGGTGTGCTTTCTTCTGTGCAAATCTATTACTAATGTTAAAGAGGAGAAATGAAAGCAGGTGTCTGTCTTGAATGTCCTTTTATTGTAACTTTTTGTGGTGTGCTAGGACCACTGTTAAGTCTTCATAACTCATTTGTCTTAATCTGTGTTAACAGTCCACAATACACTAGAGATTTCCTGCTTATCAGAAGCATGCTTGTTTCTATATGCCCACAAGTCCTAAACTCACCGAAAAAGCATTTTCTCATTGTGTGTGTGTGTGTGTGTGTGTGTGTGTGCTGTCAGCATGTTCATCTGTGCGTGTACACACGTGTGCATGTGGATGCCAGAGCTCAGCACCAGGTGTCATTCCTCAGACACTGTCGACCTTGTTCATTTGGAGACAGAGGCTCTCAATGGCCTGGACCTTGCCAAGGAGGCAAGGCTAGCTGGCCAGTGAGCCTCATTAAAAGCATCTGTTACAGTGCCAGATGTTTTTACAGCTGTGGGTTCTGGGGATTGAACTCAGCTCCTCACTGTTACATTGCAAGAACTTTACGGACTGAGCTATCTCCCAGCATCCTCCCATCGCTGACTGTTTCCTTAGGAGCAGAATGAGCAACGCTGTACACGAAGTTGCTGCATCACTTTCTCCACTACAGGGCCCACTCTGCAAAGAGCTTGAGTCCTGCCATGTAAAGAAGCTGGCCCTATGGAGTTCTCCTTAGGCACGGCTGCTATTGGCTGTACAAAGATGGCCTTGAAAACTACACTTCCCTTGGTTACTGACTTAGAGGAAAACCCCAGCCCGAGGCTACATATGATGCTTACTATACATTTTGCTCTCACTGTAATTAACTTCCCAGATGGGGCACATCTTCCAGAGGAGCAGGTGGGACCTATTAACATGTCAAGCTCTTTGGGCTTCCCCCTGTGTAGCAGGAGGAAACCGAGCTACCATTTGTCATCCTGCAGCAGAGAAAGGACTAAGAGTGGGAGGGGCTTCGAGGGACCAATACACAGTTGTTTTGAGGCAGGGTCTCATAGCCCATATTGGCCAGGAACTAGTTGAGGTCAAGATGGCCCTAGACTCCTGTTCTTTCTGCTTCTGCCTCTAAGGGTGCTAAGAGTACAGGCCTATGCGTCACCACCCAAATAAGTGTGTGCTGGGGCTCAAACACAGTGGCCTCTGGGATGCTAGGTCAGCTCTCCTCCAACTGAGCTACACTCTCACCCTCCTTTTTGCAAGTGTGTGTGTGTGTGTGTGTGTGTGTGTGTGTGTGTGTGTGTGTGTGTTCACAGGGCCGGAGCCCCTGGGGTTTAGCGGAATTGTGAGCCACTCCATATGAGTACTACCTTGCTTTCTTTGGAAACAGTGACTTGCTATGTACCCCAGGCTAGCCTTGAATTTGCTGTGCCACACTCCCTGCACTTTTCTATTTAGGCTGGAATCTGGGAGATCACTTGATCAGCTCTGGTCTCTGTAAGCTCAACAGCTCAGGCTGGCCCGCTCCTGAGGCATCTTGGCACAGGTGGGCTGCCTGCCCTTGCTCAACCCTAAGCATTGTAGTTGAAAGCTGGACTGCACAGGCAGAGGTGTTTGGTTCAAGCTGATAAAGAAGCCAAGCAATCTTAAGGAGTCCTTTCTTCTACTGAGCAAACCTGGATCAAGGCGCAGCTTTTAAAGCAGGGAGTCCCTGCATTGTTCCCTGCGAGGGGGAGGGCTGTCCTCTGTGCTGCAAGCTGGCCTTTGCCATCCAGAGCCTCATGTAAACAATGTGTGTGTGTGTGTGATGACCGTTACCATGGGAAAGTGCCACAGGGCCAGTCCCAGAGGCTATGCATTTTCTGACAGATTCCATCTGGAGGTGACAGCCTCCATCTGTGGGCTTCTCAGCTGAAGATGTGGAGGATGGGAAGTAGAGACAAAAAGACCACCTAGGAAGAGAGCCTCCCTTAAATGTAAATGCCTCCTGCAGAGGAAATAAGGGTGCATGCATGGAGGTCCATGCATCATAGCTGGGTCTAGTGAACCCCACTCAACAACACTGCAAGCTGGCCATGCACCTGGCTGTGAGCTGAAGAGTGGAGGGGTTTCACAGACAGCCCTGTGTGTGTGTGTGTGTGTGTGTGTGTGTGTGTGTGTGTGTGTGTGTGTGCGCGCGCGAGTGTGCGGGTGCGTGCTCCCGCGCATGTGCATGCGTGTGCTTTCCTGTGTGTGCTGAGGTGAATGTGTCTTTCAACATGACAAGAATTCATGAACCTACTACTTATCAGATGAGCAAGGCATAATCTCTCTCAAAAATGTTCCCATTTGGTGGATGTTCGGAAACAGCTTCCAAACAAGAAGCTGGCAACTGGTGCTCAGGCCTCACTACCACAGCTTGTTATGCTCAAGGTCCCCAGAGAGAGTATAACCCAACCGCCCGCGCCTCACTTGCCTCCTAAGCCTAGGGAAAGTGCCTGTCGCTCTCTGTATTTTTATGGAACCTTGTTGAGAGGAAACACTTTCAGAACTTGATTCTCTGTGCTGCAGACCTCTGAGCCTCCCATGAGAGGTGACTGCTGGAATGACAGTGCTGTGTGAGGACCGGCACCGGTACCGGCCTTGGTCCTTGGTGGGTCCCACAGTTCTCGCCTCTCTCTGGTGCTGGAAGCCCCGTGCTCCCTCTTGCCCTGAGGAAGTTGCACTGGGGCTCCTCAGTCAGGCCTGACTCAGGCAGGTGGAATTCGATAGGCCCTGGAGGACTCCTACCAGCCCTGCCACATTGGCTGGCTTTCCCCTGCATCTCACTTCTACATCCAGCACTGAGCCCGGCCATTCCAGACTCTGACCTGCACTGACTGCTCCTCAGTGCTGCCCTGGCTCTCCCTGCACCAACCCTTGACCACACTTTTTGAGACAGGGTTTCTCTGTTGTAGTCCTGGACTCCTTCTGTAGACCAGGTTAGCGTTGAACTCAGAGATCCACCTGCCTCTACCTCCCGAGTGCTGGGATTAAAGGCGTGCACCACCACGACTGGCTTGGTTCAGAATTCTTTATTGACCCTGTGCCCTGGAGACGTTTATCAACACCCCTAGCCCTTGTGACAAATAAAAAAATGTCTCTGGACACTGTCAACGCTCCTCTGGATGTCAGTGCCACCCTTCTGAGGAACACAAGACTGAAAGAAGACTGTGACCAGCTGGCTTCTCAGGTGGAGGCAGTCTCTCTCCTCTGGCTCCCTGCAGACACCTGCAAATGCCAAGGCCCCACCTGTTGCTGGACTGGGACTTTGCTCTATGTGTCACAGTTCCAGCCAGCAAATATGTCTCATAAACGCTAAGCATTTAGGTAGCTCATCACTATACCCATTTTACAGATGTATACAGAGGCTTAGGGGTCACCTGCTGGAAGGCAGAGTTCCTGAATTCAGATTTAAAACAGTGAATGCTGGGTCTAAAGCCAGCTCTAAACAATCATCCTTGAGCTGTCTTCCCCATGGTTTTCCTTCTCCTTCAGAAAGCCAGGTACTTCTGGTCCTTATTTGTGATCAACCACCACGTGGGCCCAGGCAGGGATCCTATTCCATGATTTATTATTCTGATCCGTTAGGGACCTCCATGGCTCAAGCCTGCTTGGCCTGTCCCATAGTTGTCTCTTCTCAGGCCTCTTCCAGGCAAGTGTAGTGGTCACTTCTAAGTGGCCCTGGGCTACTATTGTTCAGGCTTACTCAAGATTAAGGCAGCCCACAGAGGACTCCCCCAAACAGATCCTCTGTCTCACTACATGTTTGGAAAAGGAGGCTCCACTCCCAGATCCCCTGGGGGAAAGCAGGAGGGTCTGTGCCTTCTGAAGTGCTCAGAAATGGCTCAGTGGAAAGGTGGGCTGTATAGGAACTATGACTGTAGGGCGTCAGCTGCACTTGCTATGGGATACTGAGGTGCTATTCCTGCATAGCAGAGGGCGCTCTTTCCCCCCTCCAACTTCTGTTCCTTTTGAACAATGGGTGTTAAGTACAAAGATGTCTGTTTATAGCATTAAATTATGATGCCGACATTAATGACACTAGAGTCTGACCTGAGCTTGAATCTGTGTTCTAAGAACTGTAGGCTGTACCCTTAGGACAGGGATATAACATTCCTTGACCTGTTTCCCCATCTACAAAGCACAGGCTATGGAGTACTTAGCTTGCTGTATTCTTGGGCAGATCAGGGGTAATGAGCAGGTGAAGATTAGCTCCCACAAGCGCACCGGAAATGTGACCACTGTAATGTCAGCAATGGGGTCACTTACATGTGACTGAACCCCTAAGTCTAGTTGTTGGTAAGTCACTGGCCTGTGGTAAACACTCTACTACATGAGGGATTGAGCAAAAAGGCTTGGCTCCTTCAGTGGGACAGAAGAGAAGTGGTGTGTCCATTATGGGCGTGAGCCTAGGGCTTGATAGAATCCAACCCTACCAGCCTCAATGTGAGCAAGTACCTGACCATTTAGTGATTCTGTTTCCTCCATCAAAATGATGGCAGCAGCGGGACTGACCTCACAGCGTTGTCATGGGAGTCACATGCTTTGGTCATGGTACCACTAAACATGTTGGTTACCTTCTCCTCCTAGAGACCCTCATCTTACAGGGGAGTTTATTTAAGGGGACAATCATTGACTGGACAACATCAAGCAGGCTCTCTTGGTAGAATGAATCACTCTACAAAGTAGATCTACGTCACGGAGGTATTGTCAGTTTAACAACTACAGAGTCGTTTCTACAAACTTTGTCTCCCTTAGACACAGAGCTGAGCTGCTGCCTCAAAGCTACATACTTAGTTGCACTACAGGAGGCTCAGGGCCAAGCCAGGCCTGGCACATTTCCCAAGCACAGTGTTTAATCTTGCGAGTTTCACAGCACCATGGCTATGAACATTTACCATCCATTATCTCATTTAATCCCTCCACCAGCCTTATGAGGTCAACTTTATTGCTACAGCCATATGGTTTCTTGAATTCTGCTGGCTGGCAAGACACTTTTCAGGACAGGTGTTAAATACCTCCTGGTTAACTGCCTGCAAGTCTTACCTTGTCAGTGAGGCTGCTGTTGCAGGCTGGGTGTGCCAGGAGCAGTCGAACCAAGTTGGCGTTGCCTTGGTGACAGGCCAGCATGAGGGCAGAAGATCCATCATGGTCTTGTAGGTTGACATCTGCCTGGCAACTCAGCAGTGCTTGGACCATGTCCTCCCGATCGTGGCTAACTCCTAGCATCAGTGCAGTCTGGCCTCCCTGCACAAAGAGCAACAGCAAAGGCTGAAGCTGGCTGTGTCCAGCAAAATTTCTCAAGGAAATGGCATTGATCTGATTGTCCCTTTGCCCGTGGCACAGGACACATCCTTTTCTTTCTGGCTAACTTTGCTTTCCATGACTCCCGTCAAATCCTATGCCCTTTCCAAAGCCGTGCCTGGCTTCCCAGCATGGGCAGCATCATGCAGCACTTTCTTACTGATTGCATTCCAATTTCCCTTTATGCTTAGGAGCCCAGAAGTTGACAGCAGGGGCTGTTCTTACTTATTTTTTTGCTTTTATATTTTTGTCCCACAGAGGATTAACTTCAGGGGCCCACACATGCTAGACAAGTGCTCTGCTACTGAGACACCCCTAGGGACCATTATCTTTGTGTCAGTCTCCCCAAGGCCTAGCACCAAGGATGTGATGGAATGTGCAGACTGATGGAAGGTGTGAAGGCTGTGGCTGCAGCCCATGCCTCCTTTCCCTGGGAAGCTTCAGTCTGCTCAGTGCCTCTTGGGCTTTGTTTAAAGATACCCGAACCCTCTTGTTTCAACAAAACCTGTTTGCTAGCCTCTAACTCCGGCTAGTGACAGTATGGTTATCTTTTATGCCTCCATGGTCACCAGTGGACTCAGCAATGGCTTAGACTCAGAGGACCAACCCAAGTTCTGTCTCTGCAGTTTAATGTGTGACTATGCCAAGCTCTTGTCTTCCCTGAAACTCAGTTTTCCTTTGCTTGAGAATTAATCCTGTAATTATTTTTCCTGTGGCAGTGGTGGTGTGTGCCTTTGATCCCAGCTCTTGGGAGGTAGTGGCAGGTGGATCTCTGTGAGTTTGAAGCCAGGCAGGACAGGTAGGGCTACACAGAGAAACCCTGTCTCAAAAAACCTAAAAAATATTTTTTTTCCTGTGTGCTTTATGTGGCTCTTGTGGTAATCAAGTGAGATAAAGAGTATAAATATAGTAATATGAGGTGGTAATTTTTCTGACTATAAAGTGACAATTATTTCTTATTCACACAGGTCCACTACATGTTCTTATATTTCCTTATAGCTTTCCCCTATGACTTAGTGTATTTTGCCAACCCTTTTTGAGCTTGAAAGTCAAGCTTGTCTCTCCAATGGGATATCAGGATCCTAAGAATAAGGCAATGCTTAGTCCTTCTCTCCCTTCAGATCCCCTGTGGCTCTAAACCAGCGGTTCTCAACCTTCCTAACGCTGAAGCCCTTTAGCACGGTTCCTCATGTGGTGACTCCCAACCATAAAATTATTTTTGTTGCTACTTCATAACTGAAATTTTGCTACTGTTATGAATCATAATGTAAATATCTGTGTTTTCCAGGGGTCTCATGTGACCCCTGTAAGGGTCACTCAACCTTAAAGGGGTTGCAACCCAGAGGTTGAGAACTGCTGCTCTAATGATGTTCACATCAAGGACGTGCTGCCAGGCTCCTTTCAATCACTCCATGAGAAAGGAGATCTGCAGTCAGGATTTTCTTGGCTCTGTCACTCAGCACTTGGGTGAACTAGACACAAGCAAGCTCATCTCTGCACTGTCTCCCGACGAGGGAGGATTGGGATGGTTACTGCCTCATGGAGCCGTGCAGAGACTCAAGGGCCTAGCGAGTTAGTAAGGGTCCACTGCCCTTATCTCTAAGAGGGTTAGAGATAGTGTGCAGCTCTGTACCAGAGTATAAATAGCTGTTTGGAGCCCCCATTTCTCTGTAACTCTGACAGCTCTTTCCAGAGATTACCAGTTTGCCTTTGAGAGTGTGATTACTTGGCCTGGAGGTAATGGCTGCTCAGTAGATTAACTAGGCTTGAGGTTTCCTCGATGAAAGCCAGGCCCTGAGACTCTCAGTCTCCTCCTCATTACCTTTCTTCTGGTCTAGATTAATATAATTTAGTTTTGTTCAGAAGTTGGTCATTTGCAGAGAGGCGCTATACACCAGGCCCAGCAGGGACCTTGGAGATATGAAGATGTGTTTCTCAGAGACTCCCAGCACACTCCCATGCTGCTAGGCATGGTCACCTCCCCTCAGAATCCCAGGGAAGCCAAGGCAAATAGCTGCAGCTGTGGGTCCTAGGCTTTTCTCTGGTCCCTCCTAGAACCTACTGCATCTCAGGCAAGAGGAGTGATTGGCTTTGATCACGGTGAGCATCCCCTTTTTCAATTCCAAAAAAATTTAACATGCTTGTTAGGATAATACTATTTAAAATAAAACTACTGTAGAGCGTCTCCTGGAATAGGAGTTGTACGTGGGTAAGAATGCTTTAGAAATCAGAAAGTGAGTTCAAATACCTCTGTGTTGCCATCAGTAGGGAGCTATTAGACAACAGCAACATTTCCCCAAATCATGTTTCCTTTGTGTGTGCATGTGCGTGTGTGTGATGCATATGTACAATATTTATGTGAAAGCTGTGTGTGCAGGTCATGCTCTACAATTGTCCATCTCATTCCTTTGATAGCAGCCAGCAGCCTCAGCAATCCTGTCTCTGCTGCCCGAAGACCTGGGGTTACAGGTGTGTGCAGAGCCACACCCACCTTTTAAATATGAATGTGGGAATACAAATGCTGGAGCAGCCAAATGTTCTAACCACCGGAGCATCTCCTGAATCCCTGAAAGCTCCTGGATAAGTCATGCAAAGTGACGTTGTAGCCACCCAGGCTACTGTCTGCAGTCTTGGAGAGTGAAGCAGAGTGGAGTTCCACACACATTTTTAAAAATTTTAGCATTATTATTTTATGTGTATGTGTGCTTTGCCTGCACTTAGGTCTAAGTTGTGGAATAATCTTTTTGTATATTGTAAAGATGTCATTCTGATTGGGTTAATAAAAATCTGAATGGCCAATAGCAAGGCAGGATTTCCAGGCACACAGGATGTTGGGAAGGACAGAGTTGCAGCCAGGCACAGAGGAAGCAGGAAAGCTGTAGCATGGGCAGTACAGAGTAAAGATAATAAAGCCTAGACGCAGAAAGTAAATAGAAATGGGTTAATTTACGTTATAAGAGCTAGTGGGACAAGCCTAAGCTATTGGCCAAGCTTTCATAATTAATAAGTCTCTGTGTCATTATTTGGGAACTGGCTGGTGGGACAGAAAAATCCAACTATATGTCTGTGCTCAAGGAGGTCAGAAGAGAGCATCAGATCCTCTGGAACTGGAGTTATACATGGCTGTGAATAGCCATGTGGGTGCTGGGAATTGAAACCAGGTCCTCTGGGAAAACATCCAGTGCTCTTAAACAATGAACCAGATATCCAGTCCCCATATGAGGTTTTAAAATATGTTTACATAGCAAACAGCTTTTGAAGAGGCAGTATCTCCTAAGGCAGGTCAGGCTTGCTCATTGCCTATTATAAAAGATTTAGGTCTCCAGATTCAGGGTTTCTCTTCTATAATAGAGCAGCTATGGCTGGCTAACGGATATCCCTGTGGGTTAAAGGCTGGTTACCTTGCCTCTCCCCCTCCCTCCCCTCTGCCAATGACATTCTGTACCACTACTGGCAAAACAGCAATGAGACCAAGCAGCCAGGGACTGACCCTCTGAAACCACAAGCTCAGATAAAGCTTTCCTTTGTATAAGTCCCTGGGAATGACCCAGGCCCTCGACACACTAGGCAAGGATCCACTGCTACCAGCGACCCCCTTTGACTATAAGTGACTTATTTCAGGTATCGTTTATTCTGGCTGGTGGGGAGGTAAGGAAAGACAGGGGAAGCTAGAGACTGGGTTACTTTAAGAACCAAAGAAGCATGTCAGTGATATGGCTTAACTTCAGCAGAATCCCACCGTAACCCTATGGGTCAGAAGAGCCTGGGAGGCAGGGATCCTCATAACCCCTGGGAGTGAGGAACTGGTGACAGCTCCTTCCTGTCCTGCTACCCACACTCTCTCCATAAGTCTAATGGAGATTCAGGTGGGCAGAGAGACGCTCAGTGACTAAGAGTATGTGTTGCTGTAACACATAACATGAATTTGGTTCCCAGAACCCATATGGGACAGCCCGCAAATGCCTGTAAATCCAATTCCTGGGGATCTGACACCTCTGACCCCCACAGATACCTGCATACACCTGGTACACACACACACACACACACACACACACATTTAAAAATAATAAAATATCTGGAAGTGGTAACATATGCCTTTAGGCCCAGGCAGGGCCTACAGAGCAAGTTCCAGGATAGCCAGGGATACAGACAGAAATACTGTCTCAAAACAACAACACCAACAAAAACTTTCTTTAAAAGGCTTTAGAGAGATGATTGGCGATAACACTAAAGTACTGAACTTCCTAAGTGTGTCCGGTCAAGATCTGGAAAGTCACAGAGGCGAGTGACTGCAGCAGCCAGCCAGCAAAGTCCTTCCGAAGAGGCTAACATTAGGACTTTTGTTGGAGAAGTTAAATCCAGGTGGAATTTGCCCTGTTTTAGTTTGTAACAAACCAGATGGCTCAGTGACCCCTGTGCCAGCCAGTCTAAGGTCCCAGGAGCCTTTAAGGAAGATGAAGTATTGGGGTTTTGGATAGATGACATTTACAGCCCCAGCATTCTGGAGCGGAAAATGCTCCATGAATATAAATGGGACTCTTCACTCTCCTGGCAGAATAAAACTGGGGGTTGCCGTTACGTTTGTCGAGAAGCAGAGAGCAAGTGCTTTCCACCTACCTGAGTTGCTTGGATGTTTACATTCCCTTCTCGCAAGAGCTTCCAGACAACAGCCATGTCTTCTTTTGTCTCTGCAGAAGCCAAGGGAGTGATCATCACAGCAGTGTAGCCAGCTTTGTTCTGATGATTCACGTTGCAGACGCCTACAAGGGAAGGAATATGGGTGCTGGAACTGCCCGGGTTGGAGCCAGACTGTGCTTCAACAGTTAACAGAACACTGCTTGCTGGCTGACACATATGGTCTAGTGTTTCCCCAGCAAAGTCACTGGCTTACATTCTTCACAGCCATTAGAACTGGATAATTTTCTCTATAGGTTTTCTGAGGCTGCCCAACAAGGGAGGACCACAAAAGGGCCAGAGACAGATAAGGGGTCAATGACAGCGACTTCATTTTGAAAACCTGGGCACAACACACAGTCTTCCTAGATGAGAACATTTAAAAGCCAGAGAGGTCATATAAACTATTTACATGATGAAGGAGGGACCAGGATTTGGGATTGCTTGGCGCCTGAGCCCATGCTTCTTTAGCCACACAATACTCACAGGTGTGTCCACAGGCTACTCTTGCTAGCTCATATTGTGTGGAGCTAAAAATGATGGTCAAATCTGTAGGGCCTAGCCTACCCAAGGCCTCATGTACCAGGGGCATGAAAACAATACAGGGCAAACAGAAAATCTTTGCGGGCAGAAAAGAACTTCCTAATTCTTGTACCGGAGCAATGGAGAATATACCTTTCATGATAGAGTGATAAACTAGGATATTTTTAAGATGAGGTGGTAAATGATAATTTAAAAGACACTCCTGAGCCACAGCCCCAGGGACATGCTTCCATGTCCTTCTGCATCAAAGAAGCAGCAAGTTACTACACACAGGCTGAGACCTGGAATCCAAATGACTCCCCCCCCCCCCCCCCGCCAGGACAGTTTTCTGTTCATTGCAGAAAGTTGTGTGGCCGAGGCAAAATTAAATCTGTCTCAGTAGATCAGGACAGCACAGCCTGCCGTATCCTCCTCTGCGAAGAGGGAATGACAATGGGACCTAACTTTTAGGACTGTTACAAAATTTATGGTTAATATAAGTAAACCACCAGGACATAGTAATACCAGAGACCACTGGCAGCCATTGTTACTATCATTTAGAGTGAGTGACACTCATGTAGACTTGGATATTTGTTACAACAAATCTGTAAGTTCTGTGAAAGAGGAAAATATTGCTTCATCTCACTCAGAGAATATTTCTGAAGTATGCCATGGGAGCACAGACGCCAGTAGACATGGGCAACCGAATCTGGTTCATTCGCCACATTTCTCTCCCTGAGGACCCAACCACTGTCTTGGTCAGGCAGATGACAAAGGCTGTATGACAGCTCTATTCAGCACAACTATGGCCTGATAAAGAAGACACCTTGGGCCAGTGAGGTGGCTCACTGGGCAAAGGCACTTGCCACCAGCCTGACAACCTGAGTTCAATCCCTGGGACCTACATAGTGGAAGGAAAGAACTGATTCTTAGAAGTTGTCCTCTGACCTCTATCTGCATGTATACTGTGGCACATGTGTCCCCACCCCCATAAGTAAATACAATTTAAGAAAGAAGTAGATACCTGTGTTGTCTTCTTAGTATATTTTAACTGTTATCCCTGACTATTTTATATTTGCTTTAGGAAGTGTAAATGCCTCAGCTTAGCAGCTCCCTTGCATCTCTTTAGAAACATGACTTATAGAACAGTCTAGTGATGTCTCTCCCCTCTCCAGAGCACAGAAGGAGGCTAAGGATACACATTCTTACAGCAGCCGCTTTTGAACAATGCCCAATGAGCAAGCCAGTAATTCATGGAGGAGAGAGAGGAGAAGGCTCTCAACTGAGCAGACTTCCATTCAATGAGTCACAATGGCATTCAGGCAAAATAAAGGATACCTCACTAAAAGTGGCCCTCAGAAGGGTACTTTATGGCTCTCTCCTCAATAATGACTCACTTGGTCATGTCCTTTCTGAGTGTGTCTCAACTGCCCTTTAAAGGAAGCCCAGGTTTGGGAGTGTGACAGCTCAGTGATGGACACCTTCCACTGATGTTGAGGAATGACACATTTAGCCGAAACAGAAGGCTCACTCCTGGATCACCTTTGCATTCCCGATTCATAAGTCATAAGAAATCAACAGATATTTGATGAAAGACGCATGAGTCAAATTGGTTAATTGGAGCCATGCTTTTGTTAAATGTTATTTTATGGAGATGAGAAGGTGGCCTTTCCTAAGATGTGGCACTGTTCTGGAGTTGGACAGACCAAGTGCAAAGTCTGCTTGATGACCTGAGCAAATGCTATAACCCCAAGTCTCAGTTGCCCAACTGCAACATGAGAGGGATCATACTGATGACACCGTAGGGGTGAGAAACACTGTGAAGAATAAATGGCAGAGTACAGGGGGACTCGCTTCCATGGTGATATACTATGATGGGGTGATCAGAGATTAGCATGGGCCCTGTGCAAGGAAGCCATGCAAGCTTGTGAAGATTTCCGCATTAAGAAAAACAACACCAACAACACATGCCTTTAACTCCAGCACTTGGGAGGCAGAGGCAGTGGATCTCTGTGAGTTCAAGGCCAGCCTGAGCTACACAGCGAAACACTGCCTTGGGAGTTGGGGGGGGGGGGAGACAGGCAAATGGTCTGGCCCTGTTCCTGGACTACAAGAGGAATTCAGCATGAAGAGAAGGGCCCTCACTGGAGTCCCACATACTCAGGACCCCAAGGCAGGATGGAGTTCAGGGATAGCTTGGGCAATGTTAAAAGATCCCATTTTATAAGAACAAAAAGGTGGGCCTTCCAAGAGGGGTGCAGAAGTCACAGAGCCATTTCTGACCTGTGTCCAGCAGTAGCTTCACGATGGCGAAGTTGGAGTGTGACACACTGTAGTGAAGGGCTGTGTTCCCACTTGGGTCAGCCAAGTTGACGAGCAGCTTCAGCAGATGGGCATGAGGCTGGACCTCGAGGAGGTAGGCAGCCACCACTGCAGGGCTAGCTAACTTCCGGCTGGACACGCGGAACCACTCTTGACTGATGGTATTCAAGCTTTGCCTCTGGAATGGCAGAAGATTTGCTTACACGAGATTCCCTGGCCTAGGTGCCCTGGCTAGAGCTCTCCGTGACACTTGGATAGGTCAGCTGTGATGCTTCCGCCTCTCTCACACTTCCCTGCAGCTCTTCCTGTGTTTAAGCTGGGGAATCTGAGATGGCAGGACCAAGAATCCTGCCGCACACTTGATGCTGGTTATGAGTCTCCCAGCCCTCCACTTCTCACCCATTGACAACCATATACAAAACAGATATCAAGTAGAGACCTCAGCTTTGTGTGTGACAAGCCCAAATGTTTAGAATATCTATCTAAAGGGCGAGAGATGCTATGGGGATGTGGTTTTTATAAACGACTTTATGTTCATTCTGGAAGTGGCTCCAGGGTTAGGCATTAAATCCACATGACCAGATATAAGCCCGGGCTCATCTGTGTGACCACACACCCTCATTAAACCTTCCGTGTCCCTGCTACAAAATGGTTCTGTAGGGCCAGGTAATTTTAAAACCCGCTTTGTCTCTTAGGCAGGGGCAAGATGGCAGAGATGAAGGGATCCACACGCTATCGTTTGACTTAATGTGGGCTGGTACCAGGCTTGCAAACACATGGGCTTGCGTCACATTTCCAGAGCAGAAGCATCAGACTTATTTGTGACTGAAACATTTCTGTATATCAGGATAACTTCTTTGTCTAGGGAATCAAGAAAACCTGGAGGAAAGCCCTGACATGATGGAATATAGTGGTAGATTTTAAATATGGAGCTGAAGCTGGTGGAATGCTTGCTTAGCATCCATCCATCCACTTTTCAGCACCACTCAAAAGCAGGCACAGTGGCGGGTGGAGGCGGGAGGGTCAGATAATTCAAGGCCTTGCTTGGCTATTTAATGAGTCTGAGGTCAGGTTGAACTGTATGAGTTCTAATCTCAAAAGAAATGAATGAGTGAGTGAATGAATGAATGAACAGATTGTTAAAAACAGAACTTAGTGGGGCAATTTGAGTATTGGGAGCCTCCATCTCCATCCATCTTTAACAATCTGCAGAATGCTATTTGTCAAATCAGCTAGGATTAAAAAGAAAAAAAAAAAAAAACCCTGAAAATGGGTTGGGTGAGTTGCAAACACGGCTGAACTGATCAATTTTCTTCTCTGGGCTGCTCTGCTGAGGGAGCAATGGGCTTTGAAAGTGCTTACAGGTTTTACCACTTTGGATCTGACTGCTGGCTCCTGGCTCCGGCAAGTAGTTCTCAATTAAAAAAAGAATGAAAAAATTACAGGTTCAAATCTCCACGGGACACAAGGGTGGGAAAGATCGAATGGAGATGGTTCTTATTTTTGGTCTCTTGACCCATCAATATCCATTAAGCAAAACAGTAACCTGGCAGAATCAAATTGGAGGACTGGAGGGTGATGCGACAGATTACCAATCACTGTCATTTACTGACAGGAAACCAGGCCCTGTGCATTGAATTAACTGCCTTCTGAAGAGGTCCTCGAAGGGAAACTGAGGTCACATTCCACATGCCTTTTCTACTTTGCCCATGGTTTTGTTGAACTGAGGCAAGGCACTTTGGAGACTATAGCCACTGAGTTTAGTGGCAGGCACTTGGTTATGACTTCTAAAAATACTTGGTAGAATGCCTCTGAGCCCATGGCTAGCTTTCTTGTATGTATTAACCCTTCTATTCCCTCAGCCTAGCCCGTCTCCCGAGGTTAACAGCATGTGGGTAAATCACAGAACACCGGAGGAATGGGACTGTGTGTGCTGCCTCAGGCAAGGGTCCAAAGTCACCCCATTGGAAACTTCGTGTGACAGGGGAGGTGTGAGTACCAGGAGCTGCTCGGTGGTGGCCCCGGTTTCTGGCAGGTGTTGACTCAGTGCCTGGCATGCGTTAAGGAATTCTTCTGATGGTTTACATCTAAAGAAAATAGAGAGATTATTTCAGTATGCTGACAAAAAAAAAAAAAAAAAAGACATTCACTCTCCACCTTCAGCAGCTGAAATGATCAAGCTGGGCAACAACTCCACAATGAGGGACATTCCTAAAAACATGAAAAAAAAAAAAAAAAAAAAAAAAAAAAAAGGAAGGAAGGAAGGAAGGAAGGAAGGAAGGAAGGAAGGAAAAAAGAAAGAGAGCAGGCAACCCACCCATAGTTTCACAGTTCTATGTGGCAAGGCATCTGAGTGCTTCTGAAGGTCAGATGCTGTCTCTTCATGCTGCTTTGGGCAGGGATTGGAGCAGATAAGGGAGGCATCGGGACAAAGGCCCAATATTTGTTATTGTCATGCCAGGAAGGAAAGTGATCCCTTCCTGCCTGGGTGCCCCAAAAGATCCAGCACCCCAACCTACAGCAGCAGTTTCTGCCGGTTAGTCCCCCAGGAAGGACTCCACTAACCCAAACAGAGTTGTGAAATGAGGAGCTGTGAGGCTGGGGTGTCACAGTGACAGACACTTGTCCCATTACTGTGAGGACCTCCTCTCTCACGGAACAGCCCTGCGGGTCTGCTTACAGTCAGCTCTGTTCTTCCATCCACCAAACCTGGGCTGAGGGTGGCAGAGGTGATGGCCGTTGTTGCAGCTGGCCTATGTCTATGTATTGAGGGTCTCCTCTGTGTGGGGCATTTCACAGCATTTCTTCACACAGTCCTCAGATCAAACCTATCTGGCTGCTTCCAGGACGCTGAGGTGACTGTAGGTTAAAGACCCTGCTGGTCAATGTGAGGAATTGCAAACGTAGTGCTGCTTCAACAAAATCCCAGCTTTTAGGCTTTGACAGAAGAAACTGGGTAAAAATCAGAAGGCCCTGAGGTCAAACCCTTGCCCTACTTGGGGGCATCTCCTCACCTCCCAATGCTCTTGATTCCTTATCTATAAAGCAAGGATTGTGGGAAGTTCTACCTTCAGAGACTAAGAGGATTTCTAATATCCATGTCAAGTCTGTCCTATTTATAGTGCCAACAAAAATGCTGGAGATTGTGTGTGCGTGCGTGCGTGCGTGTGTGTGTGTGTGTGTGTGCGCGTGCGTGTGTGTGTGTGTGTGGGTGTGTGTGTGTGAAGAACTTGGGCTATTTGGATTGTTCCTCAGGGAAGCAGGGGTCACATTTGTTTGGTTCATTCAGCACAAAATAGAACTTCAGCAAACTGCTGAACAGATGGGTAAAGGTATGCACACATACAAAATGGAACTAAATGAAGGAGAAATATGCCTTTGCCCCTCTTTAGAGAAACAATGTCCCATTGCTACCTGTGTGACTCACCTCTCAGGCCTCAGATGAGAGATTTCCTCCCCAGATCCACTTGTCTGGCCTGAGCTACCAGTGCCTTTGGAGACATCCTGCCCAGCCTCGCAGCCGGGATGCATGGCTCTGCCCTGTCTGGGCTCTGAGCAATCACGTTTCTTCTCGGTCTCACTGTCAGAGATGTCCTCAGGGGAGCTGTCCTCCCCGCTGGTCTCCTCACTGGAAGTGGTCTCATAGCTAGGAAAAGACACAAAGGTCAATTGGTCCATCTCTCTTGACCAGGGCCAGTGGTTCAACACCAGTACATGCTTCTGGAACCCTACTGTCCAATCCAGAGAGGCGCTCAAGTCTAGGTTAGCATCCTTACATCCACCTTAGATTCCTGACCTGCCTCACTTCTCAGCATGGCCAAGACTCCTCCTCTAGCCTCCCTGTTCCAGCCTGGATTACATCTGACAGCATTGAACACCTCATTACACTGTTGGGGACCATCATCATCCTTACAACCTCAGGTTTCTGAGATAGACAATTACTGCCTCTTAAGAAATAAACAGGATGTTCAGTAGGACATTCCAAGGTACAGGCTTTCTGTTTCACAGCCAGCTAAAGAATTGCTCAGGGCTATCTCTCCTGCTGCAATTAACAGCCAATTACAGGTTAGCTAAACAACTCAGGGCATTCCTTCTACTGACCTTCTCACTCTACCTACTTGCCAGGGCCCATGCCCTGGCTACCTGCAAACCCCCTCTCACATCCGGCCCACGGTCCTATATAAGCCTCCCCTGAGAAAATAAAATTTTTCAGCTTGATCAGAATATTGTCTTGCTGTCCATTCTTTGTATCCCTTCTCCCCCATTTTCTCTAGGTGCTCCCCGGTTTGTCATTGACTGCCCGGTGGGTTGGGGCATTCCGCACGGGCTCTAATGTGATAATACCCACAAATTAAATGACAGTGACGGGAGGAAGACTGATTTCAACTTGAACTCAGGTTCCAGCTGGCCCCAGTGGTAATACCTGCCATTTCAGCACTCAGGGAAATACGGCAGGAGAACCGAGTGTGAGGCTATCCTGGGCTCTGTCTCAAAAATGTGTGTGTGTGTGTGTGTGTGTGTGTGTATGCGCGCGCGTGTATAACATCTATTTATTCATTTGTGTTCTTCCTCCCTTACCCCCTCACACATACACACACATACACACACACACACACACATACACACACACACATACACACACATACACACACACACATACACACACATACACACACTACACACACACACATACACACACATACACATACACGCACACACACATACACACACATACACACACACGCACACACACACACACACACACACACACACACACACCACAGTGTGTGTATAGAGGTGTGGAGGAGGTCAGAGGACAGTCTGAGGGAGTCAGTTCTCTCCTTCTATCTTATGGGTCCTGGGGATTAAACTTGGGTCCTCAGGCCTGAAGGCAAGCACCTTTACCTGCTAAACCATTTTACCAGGCTCTCTTTGTTTCTTGACTTACCTGTGAGTTAAAGGCATCAACTAGGATTTACTTGCCTCTTTTTTTTTTTTTTTAACCTTGTCACCAAGCATATAGCTGTATTTTAACAAACATTTGTGAAATGACCTATTTAGGATGTGTCAGGTACAATTTAAGAGCATACCATTGAACCACACACCACATACATCCCAGATTACATTGCTTAGTGATGTCACTGCTGTCTTAGTTTATGCAGTCCTCTAATGTCCACACCGTGATAAAATCCCCAAGAATGGCTTTCTCAGAATGCATTCTTGTTGCTAGATGACACATGACCATATCTAAGACTCAATCCCCCAGTCTAGAGAAGGCTTGAGTCATGTTCTGCTTCGATAGAATATTTGTTTTTTGTTTTATTTGCAGTACATTAAGGGAAGTGAAAAAAAAATAAGTGGATTTGGCTTGGGGTGCCGTGGTAGATAAAGTTCCTGCTAGTGTGTGCAAGACCAGGGTTAAAGTCTCAGCACCATAAACAAAGAGATCACCCTTGGAACCAGCAGAGCTTGTGCTAGTTTCAATGTTATGCTCAAGTCAGAGACCTTCCTCAAAGGACCCAGAGACCCTGGAACTCCCACAAGCCCCCTGGAGGTGGGCCCTGAGGAGAGCAGGCTAAGCCATTGAAAGTAGAGGTTCGAACAGACTGGCACAGCTGGAAGGATTCAGACATGTGCAAACACAACAGGCCATGGGGACTGGATCCCTGCAGAAGAATGAGATGCAGGTGTGTCCCCCAGGGAGAGGGTGCTAAGGACAACAGTGGGTTAGGTAGCAGGGAAAGCAGTCGGAGCTTCACAAGCGATGCTTACCCACCGTTAACCCCAACAAACTGAAGGTTCTTTTTGGTCCCATTACCTCCTGCACGGAAGCCATAGTCTTTCTTTTTCATTATGGATTTAAGGCTGGTCGACGGAGAGATCTCTAGGCAGATACAATATCACAGGTTAGAATGACCTTAGGGTGGCCAGACTTAGGATTCTTGCTTTGAGGGTATATGAGTGTATGAAAAGGGAGAAATGAGCAGGTGGCAGATAATGAAGACTACATGTTATAGGTCCTTGTGCTCTATGTTTGTAGGACTGTCCCCTAGCAATGATGTCACTCTTTGTATGTGAATGACAGAGCAGCTATTGGAGCGCTTCTCAGAATCATGTGAGTGGTGTCAGCGTTGTCTTTATCTCAGGGCTGGGAAATCTGGGGCTCAGACTTGCACACGGAATGGTATGGCAGAACTCAGGTCTTTGGGTGCCAGTCTACACCCATCTCTACTCAAAGCATCTCAATGGTCCTTCCTGGATAGTGTGCAAGTTGCCACCTGTGATGACACTGGACTTATGACTGATAGGTGAACCAGGTCACAAGTCTTGTGCTATGTAATGACATGGAAGACCGTTCCCCACAGCAAATCTAGAAGTAGCAGAAAAGTGAGTAAGTAGCAGATTTGTGTCCCAAGGCATGGAGCTGACTTTATTCTCCAAGGCACTATGTGGTCCAGCTTTGCTCAACAGTGAGGACTGTGTGATGTCTCAGTCATTCCTGCTCAGTAAGCATCCCTTCCTCCCTCCTCCTGGTCCCCCTCCTTGGCCCCCCTCCTTCCACCCTTCCACCCACTCCCCTCCCTCCTCCTCATCCTCCTACACCCCAAATATTAAATGAACTGTTTCGGTTTTCATTATAATACTTCTTCAAATTCAAGCTAAAGAAACATCTGATGTGAAAAGCCAAAGAGGATGTTGGGAACTGCCAGAGTCTAGGAAGCAAAAATGAAGGCCCAGGAGGAGTGTACAGGCAGCATCATTCTTCGTCTTTGACATGGCCTATGCATAATGCATCGCAGACAAGGTGCCCTCTGGGAAGACTCAGTGCTGCAGGCTTATGGCTTGGCAAATGGTTTTCCCTCCACGCTGGGCATCTCTGTGGCCTGTGCTATCTATTTAGCTGTATGTGGACATCCTGCAGCTAGACACAATCCAGCAACAAGGCCTCCTCACATCAGTTTTTATTCCCCTGAGTCCCTGAGAATGTTGAAATCTTTTTCAAAAACATACTCATAATTAAAACCCCTAGTCCCTACAATTTGTCATGTAAAGGAGAAACAGGTCCCAGGCACCAGTATTTACCCAGTGGTGGTGGAGGGGTTGAGGAGGGTGGGGCAGGTTGCTCCTTCTGCTCTGGGTCCTGGGCTGAGTAGGCAGACAGCAACAGGTTGAGGGAACTGAGCAGCTGGTTCTGGATGCTGCTGAGCTTGGAGGCAGGCTGCTTGATGGCACTGGCCAGCTCTGGATACCCATGCTCCAGGCAGTTCCACTGCTCATGCAGTAGCTCTTGGATCTTCTTAACATACTGCCCGATTGTGGCATCTTGTGGGGAACTTGCAGGCCTTCCTGGACGCTCTGCCCCTGGGAGTTCTGAGCTGGCCTCCTGCCTGATCACTGAGGCAGACTCTCTGGTGCTACTCCAGGAAGAGGCTCCTGTCACCCTGCTCAGGTCCTCAGCCCCCGCCTGTGGGCCTCTCTCCTGCTCACAGACATCTTCTTCGATCCTGAGTTCCATGGAGAGGCAGCTACATAAGGAGGAGGCAAGGACCTGCTCAGGTCCCCTTGACAGTGACAGCGGGGGTGGCAGCACAGGCTCCTTGGGGCTCTGATGGCCTTGCTTGTGACTATTTGGGACCCGTGGGAAGCCATTTTTCTCTGCTTTAGATGCCCAGCATTCAGGATCTGGGATTCTCAGCAGGTTGACCCCAATGTTCTTATCACACGACTCTCTGGGGATGAGTTCAAGAAGAGGGTCAGTGTTCACCGCAGCATCGGTCTGGCCCAGAACATCACTGGCCTTCTCTTGACTAAGCTGTTCTTCTAATTGGGCTACAGTGCACTCCAACTCTTGGATCCTCTGTTCCCTAGCCTTGGTCTCCTCTTGCTGCCATACGAGGGCCGCTCTGACCTGGGTAAGCTCCTCTGTTCTCCCTGACAACTTGTCCTCAAGGGCTGAGACCTGATTCTTCAGGCTGGAGATACTGCCGATGTCTGTCTCCACCAGGCCCAGGCTTTCCTCTGTTACCCGGATACCAATGCTCCTCACATCTACCTCTATGGGAGGAGGAGGTGGGAGCTCACTGATATTGAGTTCAATTTCCTCCAGGGAGAGCTCATTCTCAGGAATGGGGGATGGCAGAGGGGGTGGGCTGGGTGTGGAGGAGCCAGGAGTTAACACCACCTCTGCTTTTCTGGCTTGGTGCTGACTTTCCACATCCTCTAGAGCCATGGGTACATTCTGGACTGCGGAGGGAGGACCTGGCTGAGAGAGGTGACTTGATGCCTTTATGTCACCTTCTTCGGGCTCAGCCCCCTCCCAGATCAGCTCTGGAATGGCAGGTTCCAGCTCTCCCAACCCTCTGTCTGTTGATTGAATTGATGCTTGGAAACCTGTGAACCCTTCTGCAGGGTCAAAGGTCCCATCACAGACATTGCCTTCACCCTGGAGCAGACGGGTGGAAGGACCTGAGGTCAGGCTGGACTCATCGGGGGCCCGGTTTTGCAGCAGCGTAGCAGGCATGCTGGATGCTCTTAAAAGCTGGGGCCGTCCACTCCCACCGTCTTCCAGAGCACCAGCCTCTGCCTGCCTGGTATGCTCTGCCAACAGGGTCTTCCTGTGATGGTAGCTCAGCTCACTGCCATGCACTGAGGCGTGGGGGACATCACCTAGTGGCAGTGGGTGGGATTGCTCCTGGATCCCTAGGGATATCTTTCTGGGCACCACAGGAGACCAGTTTTGCTGGGGAGGAGCAGCATGGGTGCGAGCCCCACTGTCCGGAAGGCTGAAGTTTCGGGGCAAAGTACTAAACTTAGCCTGCTTGGCTCTTCTGTGGATAGGAATCCTTTTGATAGTGTGTCCCTTCTCAATGTCATCCACATATTTGAGGAAGTCCAAGTCCAAATGAAAGCCATATGGGGTCTCCACAGAGTAAGGGTGGCTCTTTGGGGGATCTTTCTCTTCGTCCCCCTGAGAAGACTGGTCCTTAGCTGGGAGATATGAGACATAAAGAAAGAAACACAAAGTTAAAATGGGACTGAGTGTCTGTGACTTTGACCTCACATTACCATATGAGCCTTCCCTCTGATGCTCTAGCCTTCAAAGGATGCTGCAGAACCTGTGGACTTATCACCACCAGGAAAACAAAACTGTCTCACGCTGTTTTTCTTGGTTGAATCATGTAGCTGTTGAACGAAGTCCAGCAACTTGTCAGAGGAGGGTACCAACTGACAATTATGGACACGTAAGATTCCACCAAACGAGATTCACAATTTTCTCAGCATTCAAAAAGAAACTGCTATGCCTCAAATAGGTTCCAGGAAATCTTGCAAAAAGCTAAGATATTGATAATTTATGACTCCTGCATTACTAAGCTCCTGGGGTGCTTAAGCCTCTGATTCTCTAAAGACTAACAGGAACTGGAGCAGGGGATCATGGATGCCCAGTTTTCCTTCCCCCTGAAAACTGAGTAAGAGGAAACAATGTGAGTTCTACTTTCAAAGGCACATGCTAATAAGGAAATACCACATTGTTCATGGACTGTGAAACAGTTCTCAAGGGAGTAGATCCCATAAATGTTAAAAGGATAGAAATGTATCTTCGTAGATGTGTGGGTCCCATGACCTCTTAGGGAAGCCTGAGCCACCCTTTTTGTAAGCCAGGGCACCAATAATCTCTCTTCTGACTACCACAGAAAACGCAAAGAACCTGTCAGTCACATGACTACTTGAAGCCACTGGGACTTGCACAGATTCTTTGTTTGTTTGTTTGTTTGTTTTGCTTTGCTTTGTTTTTCCAGGTTAACCAGTCCTTTGGTGCTCTTCATATGACATCCTCATTACCTTTGGACACTGGTGAGAACACACTGTGAGACCTCTTAGCTCAGAAGTCAAAAATACAAAGTAGCTAGGTATGGTGGTGTTCATCTGTAACCTTAGCACTCAAGGATGAAGCAGGAGTTTAAGTTTCAGGCTACCCTGAGCTGTAGAGGGATACTTTGTTTCAAAAGAAAAACCAAAAACATCGACAGAGAACCAAAAGAATACTGGAGTCTGGCCTATACTCTGCTCTGTGACCTTGGGAAACCTACTCAGCTTCTCTGTGTCTCATCCTCCAAAAAGTGGGAATAATCATAGATAATATAAGATTATTATGAGGTCTAATTAATTAATAATGACTAGAATTCACTCAGTCCCATGCCTGGTGCCTGATAAACGTTCTCAGTTTTATAGTTACTATTTTTGTGGAAGCTCAAAGTGTAGGAACTGATGGAAACCAACATATGTGACTCAGGACTGGGAATGAAGGAGGGCCTGCACACATTCGCTGGGATTGACTGCTGAGTTTTAGTGCAAAAATATATAACTCATCAGTAATTCAATCCACATACGTCAGTCACTATTTATTGAGTATCTATGTGTCAGTTGTTGAGCTATACATTCTAGAGACACAAAGATAAGTCAGTAACAGTCATTTCTCTCAAAGGATTTATGAGCAAATATGGCAGCAGCTAACAACGCAATGTGCTGGGTAACTGGACATTGTCTACAATAGTCTTCTTCGCTGACCAACTTTCTCCCTTTCTCTGGAAGTATTTTCTTGGATATTAAGGAACAAGCTACCTTGCTAATGGAGGGAGACTTCACAAGAGTGCCATAAGAAGTATTATATGAGCAAATAGGAAACTGCCAGAACAAGAGGGCAAGAGACTTTGTAAGCAATTAATCTCCAAGATGACTCCATCAACTCTTAGCCCCTTTAGACAAGCAAGCTAATTCCACAAAGAAGGGGGAACTATTTCTTCACAACTTTGAATCTCTGCTGGCTTACAAGGCTTTGATCAAAAACACATGGTAGTGATGGTGCTAATAGAACTCCAGAGTTAGCCCATTAGGAGACTTGTAGTTTGTACCAGGTCCTCTCAGAATGCACTTATATTGAGAAGCCAGCTACCATGTTAAGAACTCTCTGAGGCTGTCATGATGCCATGATGCTTAAGCAGCTTCCCATATAAGTTATCTAGAGAAGGAGAAAGGATGGAGAGAGGGAAAGACAGAAAGAAAAAGACTTCCCTAGCCATCTTAGCCCAAATTTCAGGCATAAGTTTAAAGAAAATCAAACTTCAACTACAGGAAGGACCCCAAGCGAGGAGCTCTCAGCTAAATCTGGGCAGGTAATCAATTACTGTGGGAAGCCATTAAGTTTCAGGGTGGTCTGAGCTGTAGCAGCAGGCAGTTATTCTCCAGGTAGAAAAGTCAGGGAAATGGCAAAGACACAGAGGTGTAAGCTCACACATTGCGACAGGAGTGGGTAAAAGTTTATGTGTGAGGTTGAAGAGTAAGGGGAGAAAGACAAAATGATGAGGAAAGTGAAGAGAATCTGGCTCATGGAGCAACTTGTATGCACGCCAACCGTGTGTGACTTACTGTCTAGGTCACAGGATTCACTACCAGCTTTAAATAAGGAGTAAGTTGTTCACATTTCAAGAAGAGCTGTTTTGGGTTGTTTGTTTGTTTGTAGTTGCTCTGGAATACTTTGGTTTTGAGATAGGGTCTCACTGTATAGCCCAGGCTCTGAATTGTCAATCTTTCTACCTCACTCAGCCTCTGAAACTCTGAGATTATAATTGTGTGTCATCCTGCATGCCTCAAAATGAACATTCTTGTGAAGGACTAAAAGAAAGATAAATCAGAAGCCTGGGACCAGTAGAGAGATTGGTGATAATAATCAAGGTGAGAGAAATGGAAAGTAATTTGGAGGGAACAGGCAGGCTTTAAGAAGGCGCTAATGATGGGATTGTTGGAGTAGACAGACAGCCTAGGGCGTGTGCCTAATGACCCCTCCTAGCAGTATATGCCTGGCCAGTGGCTGTCTACATAGGTGTCACTAGAAAATGGGATGAAGCCAACTTGACACATGGAGTCGCTGCCCCACTATTGCTAAGTAGACCTAGAGGCCTGCAGGTGGTTGTTATAACCACAGCAGAGAGCAGTGTGGGCTTCTAATTCACATCGTGGTCCCTGCTGGGCTTTAGACTTCTGGTAGACAAGGAGGCAGTGTGCCTCTGGCATCCACACATCTCCACATAACCACAGAATTACCATCTACCCACACAACTTTTTCTCCCAACTTGCCCACTTCCCAAGGAGACACAACTACAGGAGTGTGGCCATTTTCTGTTATTGCTTCTGTTAGTTTCCCAATCTGTACTCTGAAGCCTACTGGCCCACTCAGAAAAACCTTGAATTAGGAGGATGATCCAAGTTAAGTAAGGAGATTCATGACCCAGAGGAGAGACTTCTAAAGGAGAGGCTGCACTTTTTATTGCTTCTGTCTCTTGCCTCTGTGCAGCAAAAATGCTCTGATTTTTCCCAGGGGCCTCTGAGAGCAGATCTGGAGCATGAATATGTGGCATCAAGTAGGAAACTGTTGAAAGGCAAACTCTTTCATCTGAGAGCCAAGGGGAGCCAAAGAAGCCTGTGACTAGGAAGATATCTAAGGCAAGAGGTTTATGGGTTTGGAGTGATGCCTCGGCAATTGAGAGTACTTGTTGCTCTTCCAGAGAACCTGAGTTCCAATCCCAGCACCTCTGTCAGGCAGCTCATAACAGCCTGTAACTCTAGCCGGTCTCCAAGTGCACCCAAAGAGCATATGCTTCCCCAGACATATGCATATAAATAAATATATCATTTTCTAAGAGGTCAGAGGTTTAAGAGGCATCTTCACACACACACACACACACACACACACACACACACACACCAACTTGGTGATCCTATGTGGCCCTGCATGCCACCCATTTCCCTGCCTTCTTTCTTTTCTCCCAGAACAAGAGTAATCCTGGAGTTTGAGCCATTATGCATAGGACCCAACCTTGCTTTAAGTTTGGGCTCCTGTTAGTTCTATCTGGTGACAGGTATGCAGGAATTTGGGCATGGAGTCAGGGCAAGAAGTACTTAGACCAGTCTCTGTTCAAAATGAAAGGCAAACCAACCTTCCCACTTGCATAATTCTGGAAAAAGAATCTCATTTGTTTGGGTCTCAGTCTCTCCCTCTGTAAAGTGGAGAAAACATTGCTTGACTTGTAGACTGATGATGTGGGCTCTTAGTGAGGCTTCTATATGTAGAGATAAGGAGGTTCTAACTGGAGAGGACTGGCTGTGGACTCTCTCCCTGGGTTATCTAACTCTGTGAGCATCAGAGTTTGGCGGGGTGCATGTGCACATGTGAAGCTCCCCCAAAGAAATGGAAGAACTGGAACAATGAATTGGGGGAGAAGAAAAAAGCAAGCTACAAGAGATTCAGAGAATCTACCTTAGTCTAAAAGCAAAGATGGTTGGTAAGCACTTGGAAAAAAACCTGCAAACACAGCCATTAGACAGGTAGACAGACAGATGCACACACACATACACATTGGGGATGGAGGTGGGTAGGAAAGGGATGGAGAAGGAGGTAGTGAATGAAGGACAGCAGGTGAGCGAGTCAATCAGAGGGAGAGAAGACAAAACTCAAATGTCTATCATCAGTTTCTGAAGGAAATGGGGAAAACAGAACTAAGAGGAAGTGGCCAAAAGTGAAGCCAGAAAGAAAGGCTATTGAGCGAACTTCTTTGAAAAGCCAAGCTAGTGCAGACCTGGTTGCCCATGCCTTTAATCCCAGCACACAGGAGGCAGATGAAGGAGGCAGCCAGATCTCTGTGAGTTCAAGATCAGTCTGGTCTATACAGCAAGACGAAGGCCAGCCAGAGATACACAATGAGACCCTGTCTAAAACAAAAGAAGTCAGGATCCAGAGGATGTACCCAAAGGAAGGGGCACCTGTCTTCAGTTACCAGGACTGGGAGTGGCTGAATCACTGAAAAGGAGTGATACTGAGGAGGCGGAGCCAGGACCGTCTTTTCAAGGTTGCACTGGAAGAGCAGTTCTCTGCCAGAAGTGGCAGGCTCCTGAAACAGGGCAATGCAGTTGGAAAAAAAAGCAAGATTGAGGGCTGCAGCTGGCTTCCAGCCCTAGGTCCTGCCGCTAATAAGGGCCACCAGTAAGGTCCATGTGACTGAAAGATTGTGGGCTCTCCCTGATACTGCCCTGGAAAAGGGCTGGATTTTTTTCTTTTCTTTTTCTATGTGCAGCATCTTGCTTCCCTTTGTATGTAGGAACCAAAGTTGCACTTTAAGTTTTAATTATTATGCCTAAGAGATCCATGAAACAAAAATGTCTCTGATCTGCAAGCCCCTTGCCCAAGGACAGATAGTTCCAGACAGGCTGGAGGCCATTGCTTATGGGAGATAACAAGTCACATGTTTCTCACTCCCCTAACGAAGCTTGTTTGATCCATCTGCACCAGATGTGTTTGATTGCATGTGGGTGGGAGGTTCACAGACAGGAAATACGTCAGGATGTCTGCTTGCCCCTGATTGGACCTGGTGGGAAATACAATGAATTGTGGGTTTTCCTTCTTAAACCACCACAAACTGTGACTTGGGACCGTTTTCCAGGAACCTGGGTATGGAACAGGCCAAAGACCAGTATTTAACTAAGCTTGCTTCAAATTTGGCTTTAAGTTGTGGTAGTGGTCTTATTCTCCATCAGTGGGATTAACATGTACCAAGCCTGGGAGATAGTTTATTAATACCCATTTATAGATGAGATAGGATAGATAGCTTGGAAAAAATGTTCAATATTATACAGCCTCTGAGTAACTCTTCTACCACCTGGCCCATGTATGACCCTTTGGCTGAGGGTTAGGGACCAACAATCTTGACATAGAAATGTGAATACCGACTGCCCATTGAGATTTGTCTGCTCTTCCTGTGCTCGACTCCACTGTCTGAATGTGTAAATATGCTCTGCTTTCATCCTGGATGATGAGTGACATGTGGTTAATGTCATTACTGATGGTCCAGGAGTCAACAATCAGGTGCACAAACAAGGTCATTTTATACCATTCAGAGCCCACCTAGCCATCACAAGAATGGATCCAGGAGAGATCAACCACACCACCCTAAACCAGAATAGTGCCCTCAACAACTAACACCCACAATCTTTTGAGAAGAGTAAATGTTCTTTAAGTCACAAACCTTTTTATTCCCTCATCTGTTTTTTTTTTTTTTTTCTTAATTAAAAAAAGTGACGAGGGAGAAGGAGACCCTATTGCATTCTTGGTAGGTGGATGAGAGGGAAAAAAATTTAATTATACATATTTAATGTTTTGTTGTTGTTTGTTTGTTTGTTTTTTACTTCACTCTCCACCAGGTGGTGGTGGTGCACATCTTTGATCCCAGCACTTGGGAGGCAGAAGCAGACAGATCTCTATGAGTTCAAGGATAGCCTGGTCTACAGAGGGAATTCCAAGACAGCCAGAGCTGTTACACAGAGAAACCATTCTCTCCCACCACCATGGTTCAAGGCTGAAGTATGTGCCCTGTCCCACACCCCTCACACTCTCCAGCACTGCCTGTTTGGAGACCATCCTCCTATAGACCTCTCTAGAGCCATTTCACAGACTGGTGGAGATTAACCCTTTCCAAACCAACTAACCCTTTAAAGCAGGGAACAGAACATGGCCTGCCTACCATCTGCCCTCTCCATCATACGTAAGCAGTGCTCAGTCTCTCGGGCACCTCTGGTCCACTGAGTCTGTGCAATCTGTGGAGAGTTCTGAAAGAAAAGAAAAAGAAATGGTTAGTGTTGCTGAGACTAGAATAAGTTAAAGCTGAGGACACAGCACAAAGAAAGTGACTTTTAGTTTGGCCTTTCTTCTAGGGATGCTCTCACACTCGCTTTCCACCTCCCATGTTGGAAAGCGAGTGTGCGAGCATCCCTAGGAATCTCCTGCCTCTCCCATCCATATCTGTAGCCTCTGGGGGTGAAATGGCAAGCAGGGGAGGGTTAGCAGTGGGAAGTGATTTTCCCCCCTCCACTATCTTAATCTTTATTCTGTTTCCTGCTCCCCTACATCCTGAGCCTTTAGCAAGCCACAGGTGGGGTTGGAAGCATCTCATAGAGTTCTCACCTTAACCCAGTAGGATTGTTGTTCTCATTGTTCAGATAGGGAAGACTGAGGCTAAGAGTGAAGGCCCACAACTAGCAGGCTCCAGCCTAGCTAACTCTAAGTGCTAGAGCTACCGTGGCTATAAACACCTGTCTGACCTGCCGGCTAGCCCGGTTCACCATCGTTGTGACTGTCCCTTGTCTCCTTGGGAGGGGAATCTTTCTGACACGTCTTCCTTCACTACTCAATTCATGAAAAGGAGGAAGACTGCTCGAGTCCCCAGAGGCTGCTTCGATAAGGTGGGATGCCATCACATGTAGCTGGACCTGTGGCTGTGAACTCTAACCAGCCCCTGGAGACATTAGTTACCACTTTTTGCTAGAATTCTGAATGTGTCCCATCAAATGTGGGCTCAGATGACTTCAGGGAATTTCCCCACACACATTAGGCCTGGTTTCAGGATGAAAACCTCTATGGGGGCCTCTAAGGTTTCCCTCCACTCACATTTTACCAAGACAAATCACATCAAGGCTACAGGTTTTAAGTGGGGTTGGAAGCCAGCTCTCTGAGGAAGGGCCCTGCAACTTTCCACTCTGAAGGGCTCAAAACACAGAAAGGAAATGAAGGAACCCACCCTTCCCTTCCCCAGCCCCCACCCAAGCTACATGCACTCCATGATTCTTACAGTACACATGGTGGAGTTTGGCTCAGGGGGATCCCCTGGAGCTGGGCAGGAATGTGATGGTTAGGTAAGTGGAAAAGGATAACTATCACACCTATTCTAACACAACATGAGTATGAGGAGAGCTTTGCCAGACGTCCCCCCCCCTTAAATTCCACAATGGTCTGGAGCATTTAAACTTTGATTTTAAAACCAGCCAGCTAGGCTGTATCCAGTCTTTTATCATCCATTGCTGTTGTCTGGGGTTTGTCCCTGTCTCAAGGATCCCCAATTAGAGCCCAGCCTTTCTCGCTGGCTCATTATATTCTCAACCTTTGGAGAGCACACAGCTTTGTCTCTTTCTAGCTCTTCTCTCCTTATCAGCAAGTGTCTGAAGGTCAGAATTCTCCCAAGATGCATTCCTGTATCACCTGGACTCCCCACATTTACAACGAGTTGGACACACCATGCACGGTTTTTAAACGAGGAAAAGCGGGAGCAAGCGGATTTATCCGTCTTCAAAGGGAACCCATGGACAGAATAGAACGGGTGCCAAGCACTATGTGTCACTTCATGCCCTCCCCCAGCACAAGCCAGCCTGGGAACTGGCTCTAAATTATAGATGAGGACACCGAGGCAGCCAGAGGCTGTGGTGCCAACCTAAAGTTCCCCAGTTAATTATGGGCAGGATGGCAAGTATCCTTCAGAACTTAAGGGACAGTGAGGAGAAAGGGCTAAGACAGTCAGTGTCAGCGATGACGGGGCCCCCGTGCAGCCAGGCCATGTGAGAAATAGTTTTCTCAGGTCAGCCCAACTCCTGTACATCTTCCCCACTCCCTCCCCCCACCCACATTTATTCCTTATATGATGCCATTTTCAAACCTCATTTAACCTCAGATCGAAATATAAAGAAAGCTTCCCTTCCTTAGTCCCGAAACTGAGACCCGTGTCTGCATTTTTGTTCTTTTCAAACCCCTCTTTATTCTGCAATAATAAAAATGCCGCTTTTCATCACAGAACAGGCTGCAGGCCAAAATAAACAGCACCTTGGATTTCCTTGAAAAGAGAGCCTGGCTCAATGCACAGCCTTGCTGCCACAGAATTCTTGGACAATTCAACCTTACAAAGTCAAATATTTAGCCTGGTAGCACACCAAATAGCGCCCCACCGGTCTCTTCAGGATCACCTGGCAGAGACAAAGCCCTCTTTCCAAGAGAGAAAAGAATGCCTCCCATACCTGGGGTGACCCTGCCCTGATCATGTGAGGAGACAAGCGCTTTCACTCCCCATCCAAGGACCCCAGTTTTCCAAGTGGTACTGGAAGCACATGATGGCTCAGCATATGAGTGGGAGGGCCCACTGAGGCTGGGGTACCAAAGAAGTGAGATGTACTCCTGAAAGAGTCTGCCTGCTGAGTTCTTCACCAGGCTCACTTCCCACCCACCAGGAAACGGGGTACGGAGGACTTCGTCTCAGCAAGGCGCACATTAACACAATCACGTTAATTCCATTTCTACACTTCAAGATTTTCTCTTATTTGGCTCACACTGCAGAGGCTGGATCTTGGAGAAGAGCGGCCAGTGGGGAAGCAAGCTGTGTACACATCAGCCTCCTCAAGCACCCCTGCACTCTGCAGAGCCCTAGCAGGAAGGACTGGCCTCCCAGGGGGCCCGCATCCAGCTGCAGGAATGAAGCTGATTTCAGCACAGTGCAGTCCACTTCCCAGCCGTTAGTTAAAGGTCTCGGGTCAAGTGACCCGTGGCCTTGTTGAAAAAGCAAATACTGACTTCCTTTTTGCTCTCTGGAATAAGCAAGCTGGGTCAGGAATGAATTTACTGCTCAATAAGTTAATACTGGACAGACAGGAAAAGGGAGAAAGTTCAGATCCCTCGGCTGCAAACTTTGCTCTTGTGGACTGCCATTGTTTTAGAGGGACACACCCAAAACACACAACCTTCTTTTCCTTGATGCATCCAAATCTGGAAACTCAGGAGACAGAGTTCGCATCTTCCCCCTACAGCTCTTCAATGAAACTGCCTGTAACAGTGGTCTGGCTTCCTGAGGACTAGAAACCTGCAGGCTTTCATGGCTGTCATCCAGGCTCCACTTTAGAAACGCCCTGCCCCTCCCCCCACTACCAGGGTGCTGGCACCAGCAAGGTTCGAGTGAAGTGACCGTAGAATAATGCCCAGTATATTCCCAGGGCCAGAAGAGCATTTCCCATTTCCTGTAGCTCCACCAGTCTGATGCCCTGGAACTCCAAGATGCCCGCCCCCAGTAGAAAAAAAAAAGTGAGTGCCTACAGTGTCAAGCAAACTCCTTTTCTGTAGCTCACCCCCCCCCCCCAAGCAGGATTCCTAACTGCTGGAAGGTCCAGTAACTTAGGAGGGCAGAGTGCAAGAGCCAGGCGAAAGCAGCTGCCTGATGAGGGAAGTCACAGAACAGTGGTGACAGGCAAGACCTGGAGTCCAACCTGGAGCTGCTACAGCTCTCAGAGCAGAGGCAGGTGTGAGGTGGGGCTCAGCTTCTCCAAATCTGACACCTGCTCCAGTTCCTACTGAAGGCAGAGGTCCTGGGAGCTTTATGTTTCTTTAATACAGGCTGAGCAACAGTATCAGAGAAGACATGAACCCCCTGGTACCACCAGGGCTCTAACTGGCCCTGTGCGACATATCACAGAGCTCTCTCTCATACACACTAACCATTGAGTTTCTTTACAGATCAGCCAAGGCTCACATCAAACTTGTGCTGAACCTGATGTTGGCACCGAGTGTCTCTAGATTGCCTCCTACACTCCCTAATACACACAAAAACCACATCCTTTCCATTCTGTGCCCTTTATCCCCATACCAGTGTGAGTGCAGCCAAGCCAGGATCTAGTATTCCTGTTATACAGGTAAAGGAAAAAAATCAGATGGTCTAAGTGAATTGCCTTGGGTCCCCCAGGAGTCAAATTCCTGGGGTGGAATTGTGTTCTTCTCAATCTTTCTCTTGGAAGATTCCCAAGCATCTTGCTTTACCAAGAGATGAATAGACTTTCTGAAGGGCACAGGATGATGTATATGGCTATAGACAAGGCATGTATGCTTTTCAATTGTTGGAAGTGTTTGTCTGTGTCATCCAAGCATCAGACAGCTAGAAAAGGATCTGAAATGTAGCCTGAATGCTAAGGTTATATGGGAAAGGCACCAAAGAGCAAATTTGATCTGGGATACATTTGAAAGTTCTACTGCCCATTAGTAGAATATTAGTTTAAGATGTGTTACACCTGTTTATACTGTGGAATGTTTGTTTAATGATACAAAGACATGTCACATTCTTTTATGCTTAACTCGGTGGAGGTGTGTTACTTTGCCTGCCTAAAACCCTGGTTGGTCTAATAAAGAACTGAACAGCCAATAGCTAGGCAGGAGAGAGAAATAGATAGGTAAAAAGCCCAGAGGCAAAGTTTAGCTAAAGCGAAATGGGATAATTTAAGTTAGAAAAGCTGACTACAAACAAGACAAACTAAGGCCAGGCATTCATAAGTAAGAATACATCTCTGTGTATTTATTTGGGAGTTGGGTAGCATGCCCCCAAAGAGTAAAAAAAAAAAAAAAAAAAAAAAAAACCCTCAACTACAACCCATCACCTCTGAACTATCCAGAGGACAGCTAGAAACACAAAACACTTCCGTGGAAAGGGGATATGAAAAGGCCCTCCATTTGTCTGTCCCAACCTCTTCAGTTAGCCACCCTCCCTCTGCTGTGTGCCTAAGACAGAAATTGTCTTTTCCTTTCTCAAGGCCAAGGTCTCAATGTCCACCCTTGAGCTACACCTTGTCTTGGAGGCCACAGAGTCTCAAAGGCTATGGCACCTTGTTGGCCTGGCTGGGTCTCCTCTGAGCCTCATACATCTTTCCCAGGTACAATGACCATCTTGCCACTGCCCCCTGCCTGCCTGTCCTCTGCCATAGGGTCTGTGACCCTGACCTCTCACCACAATCTCCAGAAAGCACATGAAATGAATGTATCCACAAGCCCTATAGATAGATACTCCCTATGTGTGGGAAGAGCATTTCTGCTCCAGGCCTCTCAACAGTGATCTCAGAAAAAGGGCAGATAGAAAGGACAGGAGAGGTCTGTCAAGGGTGCAGTATTTAGCTAGAAGTTCTGTGGCAGAAGGATAATCTGATGGTTAGGTTAATTTCCCTGAGTTGACCACTACTTGGTAAATATACAAATCATGCTAGGGGTCTTAAGATGGCCTAGTGGATAAAAGTGCCTGCTGCCAAACCTGACAAACTCAGTCCCATTCCCATCAACCCATGTGATGGAAAGAAAGAGGCAGATCCCACAAGGTGTCCTCGGACCACCCCATAGATTGAGTGTGCACATGTGTGCACAGCGTGAACACACACCCACACACGAAGAAATAGAATAAATCACACTGTACTCACAAATATAGGGTTTGGCAGTTAGGAACACTTACTTCTTGCTCTTCCAGAGGACCTGAATTCGGTTCCCAGCACCTCCATCAGGT